CAGAGCTCTGTTTTACAGGACCCACAAATGCTCTGAGTCGGTTTTCCCGCCAGTCAAGGTTGATGAGGCTGCATTTGGCTCCGCCGAACAGTTCTGAGATATGAAACAAGCGAAGCGCCTGGGCAGCAACCGGCCTCGTGCGCTCGTCTCGCACAGCTGCTCCGGAGCCTTGGCAAGAGCCAATGACAGAGAACCGTCCCAGCCCCCACTCCGGATCAGACCCGACCTGTTTTTGTCTGCTTCAGCAGTAGCGCTCCAGCGTCCTCCCAGCTCTCTTCCTCCCGCCGCCAGTCTCCCTTCCCTTCCCCCCCCCCCGCTCTTATTTTTCCATCCTGTTCCAACCATCATCCACTCTTTTTTAATTACGCAGAACGAGTTGCAACTCATCCGCCTGGAAGTTATATTAAAAGGGGGGAGGGGAAGGTGAAGAAAAAGAAAGACTCCAAGAGGGACAAGCGAGATGGAGAAAACAGGAGAGAGTGGATGTGTGCCTTTAAAGATGGCACGATTAATAGCCCTCACCGTAAATTATCCCGGCAATAATTTTATTTTAAGCACATCCTCCCTATGCCTGCAGAAAGTTTCGACCCAAATTCCCCCCTGCCACTCTCAGCGCCTCGCTTTGTGCGTGCCCTCGGCGAACGGCAGAATTCACCCTGAAATGTGGCGCATACGCACGCACACACTCTTTGAAAATGTAAAAACAATTTAAGACGGCAAAAAATAAGAGGAGCCCTCAACTCGCTGCGGGCTGTGAAATAAGAACAAAGCAAAGGAGACGTGGGAGCAAATTAGTTGCCAGAGTCTTTTATGAGTGTGCGACTCCTAGGTTTATAGAGGTTTAAACTTTAAAAGCTAGCCCTAACCCTAATGCAGCAAACGACAACTAAAGAGAAAACAGAGCGCGGGTGGAGGGGGAGGGAAGAGCTCAGAGGGAGAGACGCCTTTAAGAAAAGAGAAACGGCCTGCCATTCGCATTGGCCCCGTCCTCGGGAGGGGAGGATATCTGCCCTCAGCACGCAAGCCTGCTCAGCATTTATACAGATTTACAAAGGCACATCTGTGCCTGTTGGAGGGCCAGCCTGACGTGTTTTTTTTTTCCTCTAGCAGCAGCTGCGGTTTCTGAGGAAACAAGGCTGATTTTCTAGTCAGGCTGGAGGATCTTTTTTCCAACAGCCAAAGCACGGGGGTGGAGGATAAGGCAGGAAAGGGAGGAGGAGAGCGGGAGAGAAAGCGCTGCCATAAAATCTCTAGGGCTCAGCCGGGGGAGGGACAGGCCCGGAGAGACTGCTGGGAATTTTCGGCTGCTGGCTTTCTGCACGGAATTCTTTAGTGTTGCAATCCCTAACATTTAGCCCAACTTCTGAAATAAACTTATCTTTTTATAGTATAGATTTGTATACTGAACGGAGGCCTCACATTTCCTACCAAAGCAACAATAATAGATCTTCCCACGACTTCATAAAAGTTAAATGCTTGGCTTGTTCTTTCCTACCAATGGGTCCTTCCTACAACCTTTGTGATGCATTGCTTTGACTTGGGTCAGCCACTTGAACATATTTGTCATCTATAATTCACAAGAAAGTCAAGCCTCTTATGAAAATAGATGTTCCCAGGGAAAAAATGCTTGCAAGCAGAAAGATGTTTTCTTCACATTTCAAAAAGACACTCCCCTTTCAAAAGCAGTTCCTAGCCACCAATACAAACAGTTAAATTATCATGCTAATGAATGATTAACTCTGCAGATATGTGGGCCAACATGGAGAGGGAAGGGGAAAAAAAGCCTGGGCAAGCAACAGCAAAGCAACACAACAACACACACAGACAAACACATTTAACTGAGTGAAAGAAAGGGGCCTTTTAGGGAGGTTGTAGTAAAACAACAGCTACTACAGTTTTCAACTGCCACTCAACAATTTCTAGTTACCACTCTATTATGCTAACTATAATAATGTAATCATATAATTGCCAAATACAGTTCAAGTATTTGAGTTTAAGTAAAAATTGGGACATCTGGCTGGAATTGAAATGTAGCCTAAGTAGATATGGTAACTCTCAGATTTCAGATGTTTTCTTCATCTAGTAGTATTTCCTAGTTTTAGTTTCCAAAACCCTGTATTACAGGCTCCCACCATTGCTGGCCAGTGGGGCTAAGGGTCAGTGGAAATGGGAGAGTTAGTTGAACAGCACCTAGGATTCAAAGCCAGAAATAGCTGATTAAGGGGCACCTATTTTTTGCACTTACAGGTCTGCTTTAAGGTAGATCACTGTGATTGAAAACACACAATATGCAGGCAACAAATCTAAAAATTTTAACACAGGAAGATAATAGTAAAACTCAGACATATGAGGTAACATCTATGTTTAGAATATAAAAACTGAAACTTTGCTTATCCATAAGAAACTCAGTAATATAAAAGGAGTTGCCTCAGATTTTAAGAGATAACCACTTCTCAGAAATCCTAAAGAATGAACCTGACAGGCCACTAACACACCTGGATTAAAATAAATGGAGTAAAAAGTTGAAATAATGCTGCAGCTGGTTATCTTCTACTGAGTGCCCAACCAAAATAAAATGTGACCAATGCTTTTTAAAAGCAACTGGCAGCTCTTCCAAGGAGACACGAAGAACAGTAATGCAGGATTTAAATTACTCCATCTACTGGGAAACAGCTTAGCCAAGCATGGTTCCTCCTGTTAATTCCTGACATATCCTTCTCTCATTCAGAAAGATGACACAAGTGGATTGGCTATTCAGCAGATGCAAACCAACAGAGATACTTAATCAATGAAATGAAGGTGGCAGTAAAGACAAGAAATGGCAATTCAATTATAAAAATGTTAACATGAAATGTAATAAAATAGTAATTTGGTCTTCAAGAAAGTAGATTTTACTAATTCAGAGCAATACTTACACAGATTCAATGAAAGGAGATGGGAAATGAAACTCAAGTAAATTCCTAAATAAATTGAAAACACAACTGCAAATAATTCCAATGCTTAAAAATGAGAAAGCAGATATTGTTACCTAAAAAAGTACTGAGAATAAAATAAAAAAGATAAATATAGGAGGTAAAAAAGAAACTAGTTACCAAGGGAGAATATGCACAGATAACAAAAAATTGGACAATCAGTGTCCATATCACAAAAGAAGAGAGAACAACAAAAAGGACTTACTCAGATATGTTCAAAATAAAGAAATACAATGCATTCAGATCCTCTTCACTTTCCTCAATTTTGTTATGCTGCAGCCTGATTCTACAGTTGTTGAAATTCTTTTTTTACGTCAATACGCCATAATGACAAAATGAAAACAGAATTTTAGAAATTTATTAAGAAAAAAATAAAATAT